GGAACAGCCCACAACTGCCCTCCCGCTTGGCACAGGACTGCCCACACCTGCCCTCCCGCTCCGGTCGGAACTGCCCACACCTGCCCTCCCGCTCTGCATGGAACTGCCCACACCTGCCCTCCCGCTCTGCACGGAACTGCCCACACCTGCCCTCCCGCTCTGCATGGAACTGCCCACACCTGCCCTCCCGCTCTGCACGGAACTGCCCACACCTGCCCTCCTGCTTTGCATGGAACTGCCCACACCTGCCCGCCCGCTCCGGTCGGAACTCCCCACACCAGCCCTCCCGCTCTGCATGGCCCTGCTTGTCGTCCACCACCTTCTTGTTGGGCGTTTACTGCCTGCGCTCTGCTTGGCACCTCCACAAGAGCAGGCCTCGTCCTTCCTGGGGGCGGGTAGGGGCTGAGAACTGAAAGGATGGGGAATGAGTCTACTACTCACCGGGTCAAGCAGCTCATCGTCCAGCTCCACGTTGCTCATCTGTCCAATCCGGAAAAACGCCGAACGTGGTGACTAGAAGCATAAGACAAATCGTGGGGTGCTCAGTCATAGGTCGTGTGGTCAGTGCTGGACCCCAAAGAAGTCCAGACTCTGCATGAGTCCAGGTCTTCTTTACCCCAGAGGCCCCGCTGCCCTCCCTTAGCCTAAGGCACGGCTGAGACTGCAGACACCCGCCAGCCCTGGGGACCGCGGCTGCACGGCGCCCACGCCAGCACCCTCGGGGCTCCCCCACCCCACCCACTTCCCGTGTCCCCTCATCATGAGACTGAGAAGCTCCGACAGGCGGGGAGCTGTGCCCGGCCTCCAGGCAGGCCCCCCAGACACGCGGCCACACTGCCGCCAGCCACCGGGGAAGACAAGCAGGCACTGCAAGGCCATGGCAGAGGCCTAGGAGGCAGAACGCAGGCACCTGCCACGTTTGCATTTCAGAAAAACACGTTTCAGGGTCAGTAGGTCCCAAATGCCGCGTGGAAACATGACCCGTGGTTTCTCTTAAGTGCAGGTGGGGCTGGGCGCCCTGCCGTTTATCCGGCGGCTCTGCACACGGTGGAAAACCTGCCGCAGCAACGAGAACAAATCCTATAATCGTCCCCCTGCTCCACGGCTTTGGGCGCATGTGGTCAGCAGGAAGCAGATGACCGTCCTCCTGCCGTGTGGTCAGAAGGTCAGCAGTCTCCTCGTGCTGCATCACAAGGGGCCGTTCTCCTCACTTGAAACCATCACATGGGCATTTGCCACCTCACACCCCCACAGGAGCACGGGTGAGGGTATATTGCTATAATTGTTCTACTTTATGTTATTGCCCTAACCTCTCACTGTGCTTAACTTACTAACTGCCAGAGCCAGGCGCCTACAGTGAACACAGTCGTCCCAACACCCCCCCGCCCCCGTTACCCCAGCTACAGCAGCACATGCTCGCCCCACAACAGGGGGAGCTTCTGAGCAGCATGCTCACGTGAGATCAGCGTGCTCCCTGTGCACAGCTGGGCACTCTACTCCACGTGCATGCGCTCAGCACCAGTAACACGGGGGGTGGGGTGCGGAGAGAAATATGGGTTTCTCTTTAAAAACACTGACAATGCCCCCAAACTGCTGAATCCAATGAGAAAGGCAGGGTGGGGCTCCGCGGCTCCAAGTCTCGGGCAGGAAGGCTGGTCCTACTGGCCAGTGTGCTGGCCCAGCAAGGGATCCCAGTTCTCAAGCCAATGGTAGCCAGGAGGGCCCCGGACCTGGCTGTAGCCTCTACTCACACAGGACACGTGTAAGCAGGGGGGGTTCTGGGCCACCACCCGGCCACCAGCCTGGCCACAGCAACACCAAATGCACGTCCCTGGGGACGTGTCTGTACACGCAGACCGGCCAGGCAGGCAGGTTTGAATGTCCATGCAAAGATGGACAAACCCAGCAGAGCAAGGCCAGGCAGTGCTGAAAGTCCAAGTGAGAGAGGCACAGGAGAATGTGACCCGCCCTCCGGCCCAGCAGGTGGAGCCACAGAGAAAGGCAGCCTGGCCACTTGCATCTCACCCATCAGTGATCAGGAAAGAAGCTCGGTTACACTGGGCAGTCATCCCTCCACAACAAGTGGGCCCAAAGTCGGGGCCCATCACACATCTCCTCTCACATCTGCAGTTTCCAAGAGCCAGGCTGCAGCCTCAGGAGAGGTGTGACAAGAATGGTCTGGTCAGGGGCACCTGGGTGGCTCAGTCGTTAAGCGTCTGCCTTCGACTCAGGTCATGATCCCAGGGTCCTGGGATCAAGCCCCGTGTCGGGCTCCCTGCTCAGTGGGGAGCCTGCTTCTCCCTCTGACCCTGCTCGTGCTCTCTCTCAAATAAATAAACTCTTGAAAAAAAAACAAGAACGGTCTAGTCGGCACAGACTCACTCGCTCAGGTGACACAGGTCCTCAGCGCCCGACCAGATAATGCAAGCGGGGCAGGGCAGCGCAGCCTGCACCCCAAGACAGCAGCCTGGACCGGGAGGTGGAGGCCCCTCCCTTCCCCCCACTTCTCTTTTCTGGGCTTTAAGTGCATCTTCCAGGAAATATCTTTCGTGATGAAACAAGCCATTTACTTAGAGCTCAGTGACTGACTTGCGGCTGTGTCTGTTTCTTTGTCTTGAACACAGGTTAGATTACATACCGGGTCCTCAAACTGCTGACACGCACAAGAGCCCGGACGAAATCTCTGGGGTGTGATGCTGAGTGAAAGCAGACAATCCCAAAAGTGTGTAAAAGATAACACAATGATCAGCCGCACAGACCTGACACTCAAAACGTCGGGCCGGGGGAATGAGAACAGATCGGGGTGCAGGAGGGGTGACCACAGAGGCAGGACGAGAGAGCTCCGTGCTGAGGCTCGTGCTCTGCATGCTGACCGCGGTGGTGCAGACGCGGGACTTAAGGGTGGAGAAGTGCCCACGTGCCCACGTTGACGTCCCGGTGTCAGCTCGGTGCTGTCATTCTGTGGGCCGGAGGCCGTGGAGGAACCTGGGGGAAGGCGCACGGGCACTCTCTGTATAGTCTTGTCAACTTCCTGTAAATCCACACTTATCTGTAAACATTTTAAAAACGTACATGCAAAAGGGACGGCCACATCACACTGAGAAACTTCTGGGCGTCAGAGGAGACAACAGAGCGAGAAGGCAGGCTACACTACGGGAGAACGTATTACACATCGCATACCCGAAAGTTTACATCCACATGTCAAGAAATCCTACAACAACAAAAACAACCCGGTTAAAAAAAGTGGGCAAAGGAGTGAAGACACGTCTCCAACGGTGACACACGCACGGCCAATACACATGAAAACGCACTCAACACCACCAGCCAAACCACAGAGCAGCGCATGTGGGGAGGATGGGGGAAGCTGGTGTCCTGCACGCCGGGGTGGGGGAGCACGACGGTGCAGCGGCTGTGGAAAGCAGTGTGGCGCTTCCTTGGAAAATTAAACACAGGATGACCATGTGACCCAGCAATCTGACCCCTGGTGTGTCCTGAAAAGAGCTGGAAATGGGAACCCAGAGACCCTTGCACACCATGCCCATGGCAGCATGATTCACATCAGCCAAGGGGTGGAAGCAGCCCTGGTGTCCCCTGACGGATGAATGGATAAACCTACCATGGCCCATACGGGCAACACAAAGTCTCCTGGCCTTAAAAAGGAAGGAAATTCTGCAATCCGCTACAACATGGACGAGCCTCAGGGACATTATGCTAAGAGAAAGCAGCCCGTCACAAAAAAACCAACACCATATGACTCCACTCACAGCACAGTAGGAGATTTCTAGAACAGTCAGGTCTATGGAGACAGAGAGTAGAAGGGTGGGTAGGAGGGGCTGGGCTGAGTGTTTCATGGGGACAGTTTCAGTTGTGCAAGACGGACCAGTTCCCTGGGTGGGTGGCGGGGCCGGTTACACAACACATGAATGCCTCTAACCTCACTGAGCTGTGCGCTTCAAACTGGTCAAGGTGGTAAATTTTGTTATGTGTTTTCACTCAAAGTAAAACCAAGTTTAAAAATAATCTGAAGGCCATTTGCTGTCCGCTGGGCTGTTATGTGTTCTAGCAGGCTCCACGCTCAGCACGGAGGACAGAGGGCTCCAGCAGCCAGAGGCTTCCAGGCCAAGCACACAGATGCCCGTAAACAAAGTAAGTGCAAACGTGAGGAAGCCTGTGAGGTCAGGTGGACAAGGAGGCCTGCAGGCTGAACCCCAATGAGAAGAAGGACTAAGCTGTACAGCGGGGGGCTCTCGGGACCCTCTGTCCAGGCCTGGGCCCAGCCTTGTCCCTCAGCTCTCGAGTCTACGCCCCTACTGCAGACGGTCGTCTGTCCCACCCCCACTGACACTGCACAGGTGGTACTGAAGGCAGGAGGGACACAGATCTGGGGAACCCTCAGGGAGGGCACTGCAGCAGCCAGCCTGAACCCTACAAAGTGAGGCTGTGCGTAGGTAGACAGAGAGGGAGGAGGGCAGGTCAAGGATACTGAAGCAGAGGAACTTCCAGGAAGAGCTGAGCCCGGTGCTAAGAGCCACCTAGGAGAAAGACGGAGTGCTCACTTATTGTAGAGGAGAACTCAAGGGGCCAGTGAGGACAACAGGTGACCTGCCCCTAACACTCTCAGGCTGTGGTCTGTGGCTCCAGCTGCCAAGGCAGGACACAGAGGTAACCCAGTTCCCAGAGAAACAAGATCTGTAGAACTGACTCTAAATGCTAACCTGAGAGTCCTACACCCGCACCCCCTGGCCCCCGCCGGCCCCAAGGTGTGTCAGGTGGAGCTTCCTAAAGCTGAGGTCCCTGGAAATGTCCTGCATTTACAAACACTGCAAATACCCCACCCCTCCACCTCTGGAGCATCTGTTTCTGCCTCAGAGTTCCCTGTATAAGTTCTCGAAATGCTCTGCTTCCCACTGCCCACACACACGACCATGACTTGCTGGCTGACCTCACCCCCTCCTTGTCCCAGCGGGAGAATGGCAGTGACTCGCTGGTAACTCACCATCACCCCACACTCCAGGACGACGGGCCCAGGGGCCTGACAAAGGGAACAGCAACCAACAGGTGGCTCTCAACAGCCTGCTCCCGGGAAGCTGGAGGCTGAGCTCAGGCCAGTCACCAGTCTATCCTGCCAGGGGCTGTGCCTACTCCCCGCTGGGCACTCAGCAGCCTGGCAGGGTAGCCACATGGCACACACTGCCCAGAGCAGCTACTTCAGGAGCTCGGCAGGCTCCGCTCGCGCCAACACCACCACCATCCAACTCTGGACATGATGCAACAAACCCCAAAGGGCCAGGAGGTGACCATGAGCTCCCACGTCTGATTCACTAGAACGTTCCTGTAGGGTGGTTGTTGGTCCGGGCTGTCATTTTAGTTCAAATGGCCCCAGACTGACAGCAGCTTACAGGCCACCATCTGCTGCAGAGCCTAGTGCCGAACTCAGCCTGCGGGCCCAGAGCAGACCTTCCCCACAAGAAAGCGGCATCAAGGAATCCCGTCAGCGGCCAGCAGAGTCACCCCATGAACGATAACCCAATGACAGTCGCTTTCGTGCTGCTGTTTCCAATACTAATCCACTGAGAGTGGCTACCGTCCACCAGCTGGGACAGGCACTGCTCAGCACAGCACACACATTCACCTTTCTGCAGGGAGGACCCTGAGGCAGAAGAGGCCACGGGGCTTGCCTCCCAGGATGCAGAGCGGCCTCCCCCTTGCCACCAGTCTGCACAAGGCGGGCTACGATCCTTGAAGACTGAAATCTCCAACTTCCTGCAGAACTCTCCCTGAAGTAAAGCCAAATTCAAAGGCAGCAGCTGTCCCCTACAGGTCTGACCCGCCTCTCTCCCCACTCCGATCTACTTTCCAAACTCACAGAGGATCTCAAACACACTCCCATCCTTTCTCACCTATTGCCCGCCTGAGGGTCTTGCACTCCTCAAGACTGGACCCAAATGGGACCTCTCCTGCCCTTGGGGCCCCTCACACAATCTTCACAGAGCACCAGGCGTGTTTCTCCACAAGCCTACATCCAGTAGGAAGGAAGCTGCTTCTGCACCCGTGTTCCAGGCAAACTGCATGCACCTGGACACACAATAGGTGCATAATAATTCTTTTTAATTGCTTAAGAGAAACTAGTCGGGTGTCGCTAAACACAAATGAACGATAAAAGTTGCAAACATTTTTTTAAAAGAATGACTTTTTTTTAAGACTTCAAAAGGCTCTTCTTAAAAAAACCCAACTCCCGTATCTACTTGCAAAGAGAAGTGGGAAACGCACATTCAGTCCTGAGATAAACCCAAATACCACCTCACCGTTTCCAGTCTCTTTACCTGACGACCCTTAAAGCCAGTTTTACAATTCCATTTGGTAGACCCCAGGTTACTTTCTTTTAAAGGGAAAAAATAATGTTCCAAGAAGAAAATAATAAAGCACCCTTAAGGCTCCCCTCCAAATTAGCCATTTCAGATCACATCTCATGTAGACACAAAGAGCATTTCAGGACAAAATTTCACTCAAAAAACAGAGCTGCGCTTTCACTCTGATGCGTTTCCAAGGGACTGGAGGAACCTGAAGATAAGCCCTATAGAAACAGCCTGACGCTTGTGTCCTTCCTAATTTTTAAGGACCGTTCTAACGTTTAAAGGACAGATACTGAACAACAGAAGAACAATACCAAAGATAGAATAAGACCAAACAACGCATAAAAACAGCTACCAAATAAAAATGAACACAACACACATATGTGCATGCAAAGACTTTGCAAACCGCATCGCTAATGCGAACACACGGCAACCACTCTGACTTGATGCTTAACAGCGTCTGTCTGCACGCTCTCATTTCATTTAGTTGGTAAGGAAAACTGGGTGCAAATACCTGTCATTTCTAAGATCGCCCTGTACCGATTCCTGCAGAGAAGGGTGGCTCACAGAGCCCCACACTGCAAGAGAAAACTCGGCAGGCGGAAGCTCGTGCGCGCTCAGAAAACAGTGTCATGGTGAGCTCGGCCTCCTCCTCGAACCCCACCAGTCACCCGGCCCAGAGCTTCCTCCCAAGACTCCAGAACCCCAGGGCCTAGGTTCCGATGCCAGCAAATGCCATCTGCCAAGGAAGACCCGGGGCACGTTCCCGCACCCGTCTGTGGCTCAATTCCCTCCTCTTCATCGGGGGGGGGCGGGGGGAGCGATGGAAGCACCGATGAGCCGGTCACCACCCGCCAGGCACAGGGCCAGCCACCGGCCAGTGAGCGACCCTCCGCCTGCCAGAGCCGCTGACTCCCGAGTCGGAGCGGCGGGGAAGGCCCGACCCACGCCCGCCACTGCGACGCCGGCTCCCGGCGGTGGGGAGACTGAGGCGCGGGCCGGGGCTCTCCCGGCGGACGGGCCTCACCTGACGGGCGGCCGCCGGCCCGGCCCCGTTCAACAGCGGCGTGCTCTCGCCAGCCGGCGCCCCGGGCCGCGCCGTCCTCTGCAGCAGAGGCGCCGCCTCGTCGTCGTCCAGGTCGCGGCCGGACCACGACACCTTCTTGGACACGTTGGCCATGGCCCGCGGAGGACCGACTGGCCGGAGAAGCGCAGCAGCCGGGTGTTTGTTCTCGTGACCCGCGCCGCGGGCACGTGACCCACGAGACCGAGCCACGTGACGCACGGCGGCGGCCGCGCAGGGTCGTGCGCCCGGGGGGCCTTCTGGGAGTTGTAGTCCCGCTTCTGGCGCCCTCTGGGCGGAGGGGGCTCCGCGGCCACTCGGGTGACCAGCGGGGACCCGGTCCCCGAGAACGGATCGCGGCAGGAACGGAGAAGGGAGCCGGGTTCCGCGCGGACGGGACAGGAGGAAGGGGGAGGAGGGCGGGCAGGCAGCCCCTCCTGGAGCAGGTGGAGACCGACCAACCGGCGCGGGAGGAAGGGCGGGTGGACACCTGGCAGCCTGGCCGCCGCGGGAGAAATGACCGGTCGCAGGCGCGTGCTCCGCCGTCCGGGCAGGTCTCCTGCGCCCGGGCCTGTGCGCGGTCTCGGTATCTCCCTGCGGGTTACCGGTAACGAGGAAAGGGAAGGAATCTTGGAAGTCAGGTGGATGCCCCTGGAGCCCAGGACAGGCTGAGCACCGCCCGCCCTCCCGGGGCTTGTGCCGAGGAGGACACACGGCTCCTGGGGCATTGCTGCAGAAGCTGCTTCGCCGAGTGCCCTCATCGGGGGGGGGAATCACACACGCACCCAAACTGAGGGACATCGGCTAAACTGCGAGGCGCTCTGTTCGGCCACGAAGGGCCGGGAATGCCCTCTGGGATGGGATTGAAGGGACAGCTGAAGGCTCCTGGTGGCTCTGGCCTCGCTGGGACAACTGGCAAAGCTTGGGCATGCACTGGGCTGGGTGGTGGGATTGCTTGGTTCCCTGCCCAAGGCTGAGCATTGTCCTGGGGTCACTGCAGGAAAGGTCCTTGTTCTCAGGAGACACACAGTGCATGCAGGTGGATGGGCTGCGATGTGTGTAGTTGCCTCATCGTGGGACAGGGAGCCAGCGACAGAGGGGAGCAGATGTGGCCCAAGGCCAACGCGGTCAGTCTAGGCCCAACGTGTATGACCTGCAATGTGTTCGTCTTGCAACTTCTATTTTTTGCTTAGGAAACTTTTCAAAAGGAAAAGATTTACAAAGTGTTTTAGAGGCTCTGAGGCTGAGAAGTTAACAGAGCCCCTCCCTTCACACAACTCAAAATCAGAACTAAAACTAAAATAAGAGAAGTTGGACAGGGTTTTGAATTTTCCCCACAATGACTGTGCAGTGCTCTTTTGGAAATTCTAAGAACAACGTGCTTTCAAAAAAGGGTGTTTTCTCGTTCGTGTCATCTGGCTTTGCCCTTTCGAGTGATGGGCCAGAGCGGCGTGATGGCCCCTGGGTTGTGGCCCGGCGCACAGGCGTGAAGCACGGGCAGGGCTGGGGCTGGGGCTGGGTGTGTGTAGACTGAGCGGACTGGATAATGGGGTTCCTGTGAAGACATCCAGTGGTAGAGAAGTGAGGGCAGTCCATGGGTCCTGCTGGAGGTCAGGAGGCATCTCAGTGGCCCAGCAGGACAATGCTGTCAAACAGATGAGGTGCCTGATTGTACTTGTGCTGGACCAGTGGCCCTTCTGGAGGACAAGCAGGCAGGGCAGGGAAGGGAGAAACCAGCCCCAGCTTCTTGCCAGGCCCCGGTCCCCATAGCATGAGAAGGGCTCCTCTGGGTCATGTTGTCCTTACCCAGAAACACAACAAACTCGGGTCATAGGTGGGGTTTGATGGATTGCAGGTGGCTCATGCTTCAGAATGCATTTGGGGGGGGGGCTTTGTCACTGACCCCATGGGGATGGCCGATCACATGAGATTCGTGTTGACTGTCCTGCTTCAAATCCTGCATGGCTTCCCTTGTCCTGCTGGACAGAGCTCAGACCAAATTCTTAGTGACCAGAGCCCTCCTGAAGCTGGCTCAGCCCTGACTTCAAGCCCTTCCCCAAGCCGCTCTGCCCTCCTGGAATCCCACTGCCCACGAAGCTTCCCGAATGTGGATGTGGCCGCCCGCGGTGATGCTGTCTTCTCTGCCCTATTCCTGTGGTGTTAGGGTCTGTGGACTTGTAGGGGATTGCTGCTATGAATGGTGAGCCGTCCTGGGTCCCCTAGGCATTATAAGCTCAAAAAAGGGGAGGGGCCAGAGATAATACCCTGTGTGGTCTTTCTATGCTGGGGACCTGCTGTCGCTGAAGAAATAGTAGTCAGGGGGCGCCTGGGTGGCTCAGTTGGTTAAGCGACTGCCTTCGGCTCAGGTCATGATCCTGGAGTCCCGGGATCGAGTCCCGCATCGGGCTCCCTGCTCGGCAGGGAGTCTGCTTCTCCCTTGGACACCTCCCCCTTCTCATTCTCTCTCTCTCTCATTCTCTCTCTCAAATAAATAAATAAAATCTTTAAAAAAAAAAAAGAAATAGTAGTCAGATTATCAGTCTCCCCTAAAGCAGCACATCATCCCTCCCTCCTCATGGAGGGGGGACTGAGCAAGAGCCCCCGAAAAAGCCCCAGGTGCCCAGGAAGGAAGAGCCCAAGAAGGAGCCGCTGTCCCTGAAGGTGCACATGCCCTGGGGAAGTGCAGGAGAAGTAGAAGTCAGTGACTCAGGGAGCGTCTGTGTGGCCACTCGGGGATTTCGGTTCTAGAATGTCTCCTCTGACCTTGACTCCTGGGGAAAGCAGCCACGCTGAGTCTGTGGGCAGAAGGCCCTGGATTGCTGGGGTCACAGTGCTGCAGAGATGAGAATGCCCTAAAAGGTGGAGGGAGTCATTTAGAGTACTCCCCCACCCCCCACTCCTGGGGCAGCTGCAGGATGAAACCAGGGCCCCTCGCGGAGGCCGGGCGGTGCGGGCTGGTGAGGGCTGGTGAGGGCATGGGGCTTCTCCAGCTTGTGTTCCCACTTTTAAAGTGGGGGGAGGGGCTCCTGGAGGGCTCAGGTGGTTAAGGGTCCCGTCTGACCTTTGATTTCAGCTCAGGTCACGGTCTCAGGGTCAGGAGATTGAGTGCCCCCCCCACCCATGGGGTGCTCTGCCGTGAGTCTGCTTGAGATTCTCTCTCTCCCTCTGCCCTTCCCCAAGCTCTCGTGCACATGCATTCTCTCTCTTGCTCTCTCTCAAATAAATACATAAATAAATCTTTAAAAAATAAAGCAGGGGGAATTCTAAGAACTGAGCCTATTTCCGAACTCAGGGATTCCTCACCTCTCCCACGCGTGGGATCCCCCCCACAACACCCTCTCCTCCTGTCTTCCCAGACTCCTTCCTGATCATCTGTTTGGTTCCTCCTTGGGAATCCCCGATACGGTAGGGGTTCGTTTTCATCACACTGAAACTTAATGCCCCTCCTGTCTGTGCCTGTTCTTTTAGGGGCCACGGTTCAGAAGAGTAAAAATAAACGTCAGACAGATGACATCTAGCCTTGGCAAGAACATGAGAAGCGGGAGCGCGTGTGCTGGCGGGGCGTGGGAACAGAGAGGGCGGCAGCCGCTCTGGAAACTGGTTTGGGCATTTCTTTGAAAGTTCGTGAGGGCGCCTGGGTGGCTCAGTTGGTTAAGCGACTGCCTTCGGCTCAGGTCATGATCCTGGAGTCCCGGGATCGAGTCCCACATCGGGCTCCCTGCTCAGCAGGGAGTCTGCTTCTCCCTCTGACCCTCTTCCCTCTCGTGCTCTCTCTCTCTCATTCTCTCGCTCTCAAATAAATAAAATCTTAAAAAAAAAAAAAAGAAAGTTCAGACGTGAGTTCACCGTGTGACCCAGAAATTCTATTCACAGGCACCTGCTCAAGGGAAACAGGAACCCATGTCTGCACAAGGACTCATATGAGAATGCTCGGGGCAGCTTTATTCACAGAGTCCAGAGACTGGAAGCGGATGAACAGATAGCAGCGTGGGGTGCATCCCGGCAGGATGGCGCCCAGCACCCAGAGGACAGGGGCCCTGGTGTGCAGGCACGTCCGTGGGGCTGGGGAGCGCGCCGCTCGGCAACAGCAGACTCGAGACCCCGCGGCGTGTGATTCTGGTAGATGAAATGTCCAATGTCCAGAATGGGCCAATCCGCCCAGAGAGCCAGTCAGGGGTTGCCGGAGCTGGGAGGACAGGAGCAACCACAAACGGGCATGATTTTGGGGGGCAGAGACATGGAAACACCCTAAAACTGGACTGTGGTGATGGTTGCACAGCTGGGTAAATTCGCTATCTTTGCACTGGACACGCATCGCAGATGAGCGTTGTAACACCTGCTCCGATAAAACCCCAACAAGGTTACTTTGAAAGCAGTGCCGTGGATTGCTCGTGTTTGTTTCTGAATAGCTTGCTCCCTTCACCGGCTCTGGCACCACTGGAGCTTCAGGGCAGGAAATGGGTTCCTGGTCCTTTTCATGAGGGATATGGGAACAAGGACCACCCAGATGGACACTTTCTAAGCCACCTCAAGAGAGGGCCATGAGAATTCAAATGCACCCACCCAGGTTCCATGAAAACGGGGTTCTCCATCGGCAAACCCAGCCCAGACGAGAGGCCGCACTGGAGTCCTGTGCTCGCCAGGCTGGAACAGTGTCACAGCCCACAGGGCCTCCCATAGCCCCACTCCACTTGTTGGCCCGCTCCCTCCCTCCCACATTGCCCTGTCCCCTCCCCAGTGTGGGAGGGAGCCCTGGACAGGGGTGTGCTGCTGGGGTCAGCGGTGGCCGAGTGCTGCTGAGGCTGTTCCTGTCGGGCTCAGGGCATGGGGCCTCAGGGACAGAGCTCCAAGCAGCTGCAGTTCACCCTCTGCATGAATCCGCCTCCCCACTGGGCATTGCCCAGGGTCAGAATGGCGCCCCCCGGGACCTCCCTCCCGGTGGCCAGTTTTGTGACCTCCCCGGGGACCAGCGCCCGGTCCCAAATGGCCAGGCCTGCCATGCTGCCCACGAAGGCCTCAGAGCTGTCAAACCCGCCCCCCCCTTGCTGTCCTGTTCCTGGCCCAGCATGAGGGACCCTCCTGCAGGGATCTCATAGCCCTCCCTGAAGCAGGAGCCAGTGGCCATGAGGCTGCGGTCCACGTACAGCCAGTACCTGCCCAGGGT